AGGAATCCCAAGATGGGGCTGAGGAGCCACACCATGCTGTACAGAGTCTTAGGCAGGCCCACGCTGAGCAGGACGGGGGTCACATACGCTGCCTCCACCGCATAGCAGAACTCTCTGCCGAACATAGCCAGGCTGTGCATGATGAGTCTGCCTGTGGGTCTCTTAGGTGGTTCCACAAAGCTAAAGGGGCCATCCTCAGGTAGGGATTTATAGGTGTGAATGCCAACCTGCCCACAGTTGTCACCCATGGCCACTGGGTGAGGAAACTTCCTGCGAGCCCACCGCCTCCTGCGTGGTCCTTGGGTTTGTGCTCTGGACTGTTTGACGTGCAGCTTGCCTAAGCAGCCATCAGATGGTCAGGCGGGGGGAGGGGCTCAAATTCTTTCATGCCTCTAAGATCACAAGTTATGATGGGAGGGGAGCTGGCACTGGAAAGCATGACGAAGATTAGCTGCTGTGAGCCTTCTGACTCTTTAGAATGCTTGAATGTTTTCCTAAAGGAATCTTCCTTTGCACTTTCTTTCTCTCATAGACACACACACACTATTTCACATGATCACACGCAGCTTTGAGATAATAAAGTCTTGCTATACTGGGGTTAAGTGAAATATAAGCTTTTATATAAAATATCTTTTTATAAACTTTTTATAGATATAGATAATCTGCCTGTTCTTAACTACAAGTTTCGTATGCTCAGGACTCAAATAACTAGACTTACAAGGGTGGAAACTCTTGCCCTTGTTGTTGTCTTACAACACCCCAATATTTTCCCTTATTGCACTTCACACATTTTATATTTTGCTAACTTTGTGTTTTTTCTATATGCTGTCTGTCTTTGATGTCTTCAAAAGCAGAAATAGGTCTGTATTGATCATTATGGTATCCTCAGCATCTAAAATGATACCTGGCACCTAGTAGGTCTTTAATAAATATTTACAAAAGGGATTACTGAAAGAATAAGATATATTCACTATATCATGTTGTTTGAGTCAACCACTTATTTTTTCATATCTATTGCCTCAAATGCTCTTTATCTTAGGAGAATACATTTCCCAGGCTCCCTTGCTCTCTGGCCTCTAGGTAGATTTAACCAATAGGAGGCACTGGTAGGAAGACCAAGGAAAGTTGAAGGAAGTAAGTCAGAGTATTTACCCTACTCTCATTCTCCTTCCTAGGATGTCCCTGTGAGTGGCTGCACCTGCAGCTGCCACCAGGTAACCTTGGCTTGAGGGTCCTGGTAACACTCCCTTTCCCATCATCCCTGCAGCCATAGGAGTGGTCTTGGTTTCTTATTTTTGCTCATGAGTGGTTTTCCTCACTATCTCCTGAACTTTTCTGCCCTTTCATCACCAATGCAATTTTCTAGGTTAAATTTTCAGTTTTAAAGACTTCAAGGAGGTCAGATTTTCCTTGCTGGACCCTGAGTTCAAATGAAAAGTCCGAATTTCAGGAGAAAATTATCTCAAAGTGCATGCAGTCTTTGAGCCAGAAGCATTGGAGTCATCTGGAAGTCTGGTAGAAATGCAAGTTTGCAGGTTCCATCCTGGACCTACTGCAAGAAAATTTCCAGGAGTAAGGCCCAGGAATTTGTTTCAACAGTATCTCCAGGTAATCCTTTGGTGTGTGAGTGCCAATACTCTAGGAGCTTATGGCTCAGTAGAGATCCATAGACTATAGTTTAAGAGATCACTGTTCTTGAAGAGATGCACAAACATAAGAGGAGTCCTGAGAATAGGAACTAACAATTGCTGAGCACCTCCTCAGCTGTTCCAGATACTTCACAGACTGTCATAGACATCATGATATTCTAAGATTTGAACCCAAGACCTTTCTGATTCTACAGGTCATAATTACTATAAACCACCCTAGGTTTGAGAAGTACAGGAAGTTTCACAAAGAAGGCTATGTTTAAGTCAAGCCTGAGTTTGCTAGATCAAGAGGCTGGACAAAAGGGGTATTGTTAGTCCTGGAACATGATTAAGTCCATGGAAAGGACTGAAAGTGAGAGACCATAGCATATTTAGAAACTTCAGATAATCCAATAGCAAGTGCTAGCAGGTTGGCCCAGGAGCCTAGTGATTACTAGTGGGAAGTCAGATCTCACATGGCCAACCATGGTTTGAGTCGTAGTCCCAGCAGCTTGAAAAACACATCGAACACATGTGCCCCAAATCCTGAAAGGTTGGAGAAATAGAAGAGAAAGGATTACAACATGACCATGTCCCCCTAGGCTTGGCGCTTTCTCCCTCTCCTCGTATCTCTCTGTCTCTCTATGGCCAGTGCACATGCCCTCTGACAAGTTAAATAATTTCAGTATTAGGTAAATTTTTAATTTAATTTTTTGAGAGTTTTTTTTTGCTATAGGGTGCGTGCGCTCACCAGACAGACAAAGAGAGACATAGAGACAGAAAGCGAAAAATCACCCCCCAGGGGGGATGTTCACGCCGCAATCCCTTCTCCTCCATTCTCTTGGGATCTTGGGCACGCACGCACACGCGCCCTGTGTGAGTTTTAAGCCACTGGGTCCGGGACATGAACTGCGGTCAACTACGTGGGAGTCCAGGGACATAGCCATTATGCTAACTGCTGGTTCCCGGTAAATTTTTAATTTAATTTTACTTGCTATTATTTTTCATTTGCTATAGGGTACATGTACTTGCCAGAGAGAGAGAGAGAGAGAGAAAGTGAGAAAGCAAGCCACCAGTTCTGAACTGTAGTCAGCCATGTGGGAACCCAACACCTTAATTACCATGCCAATTGCTGGCCCCACTATTAAGTCAATTTTTAAAAATAAAATGTTATGGAATAGGAGGATAGGGATGGGACTGAGCAGCTAAGTAGAAGTCTTATTGTAAATAAGATACACCATGTCAGTTCAATTTATTCTGTAGAAAAGAAAAAAGAGCACCACTGAAGAACTTAGTAGGACTGAAAAGATCAGTTTGGTGTCAAAATGATTGCATGGAGGGCGACATGGAGGGAGAAAAATGAAGGCAGTCATGACACTAGAGGTTAAGGCAGGTAGGGAAGTGGAGCAGTAAAACAGGGGCCTAGATGCAAATATGATGGGAATTAGCAGAAGGGATGAATATGAGAGCTGTCAACATGAAACTGACAGCACTCACTACCGAGACTTACTCATTTAATACCTACTAAGTGTACACTACAGGTCTATCTATCCCTATTCAAGCAACAGGGGAGTTAGCAATGAATAAGCAAATTCCTCATAAGCTTCCATTCTCCTGTACTGACGGGTCACAGGGTAGGGAGGATTGAGGTTAGTAAGCAAGTAGATCAGCAGTGATCTGTAGTCTGAAGAAAGGTAAACAGGGTGAAGGGATAGCGAGTGATGAGATGACTGCTATCTTAGGCAATGATCAGTAAAGGACTCTCTATAGCATGGCACTGGGCGGTGATTTAAATGAAGTGAGAGTTAAGCAGAGGGATTGCCGATAACAAAGGGAGACCCAATGGGAATGGGAGAAGACTGGAAATAGAGGAGGAAGAGTTTCACAGGACTTTCAAACAGGCTACAGTGCAATGTCTTGAGAAAAGAGTTATGTGTTTCAGTGATGCCAACAAGCAGCTCTGCAGAGGTGTGACATCTTGGCACAGGTGTCTAGATGAACAGGGGGTGAGAACCAGCTAAATGGAAGTCTCTAGAACATTCGTTAACATTCCAATCAAAGGCACTGAACAATTTCTTTGTCAAACTAAAAGAGTGAGACTTTTCCAAGGGCATTCAGTTTAAGAAACAGAAAAGCCAAAAACCTATCAATGAATCACAAAATGCTATGTAAAGGGCCATCCCCATAATGCACTGGTTAAGTGCTGTGCATTGGGTGCTAGATCTCACATGTTGACTGTGATTCTAACCCTGGCCCTGGTGGAAAGAAGCAAAATATTTAAAGGACATGAAAATGAAAAATTATCCACTGACGATAATGTGTATGGTAATAACTTTGACTGGACTAATATATATTAACCTCATTTTGGGAAAACTCATTTTATATGCTGTAATGATAAACAGTAATTAAATGTAAAAAATGAAATAATAAAATTTAAAATAAAATAATAATGTTAAAAACATGCCAGGCACGTGTGCATGCATGCCTCAAATCCTATCAAGATGGAGAAATGGAGAAAATGGATTGTAGTATGACGACAACGCATTAGGGGAATTTTCTTTCTGTCTCCTTCTCTGGCAAGTGTACATGCCCTCCAGCAATTAAAATAAAAAAGATAAAGGGCTTCCTTGAAAGCTTTTCACAAACTTAACAGTACAAATACACTTTAAGGGAAAAAAGCTTTATATAATAAAAACCATTATATTAATTTATTTAAAATATGAGTACATGAGTATTTTAATATCAACAAGGACATTCTACAAGTAAATTGGAAGGCAGAAGAACTGGTACAATTTAGTCTAAGTTCACAAAATAATTCCTAAATCAAAAGCCCCGATGATAATCATTTCAGATTTCAATCATTACTGTGTAATCAGACTTTCCAGTTGATTCTTGATAAGAAGAGCTGGACTACCACAGTGCTATTCTTCTGTGTGGGTGTGCTCGTGCGCACGCACCATTTTATGCATTATTCATGTACTAAGTGCATTATTAAAATTCGCTTGAGCTGGAAGTTAGAGATTTGCTTTTGGTTTATAACTTTCAATGATTTTATCTGAGGTGAGTTGATCAATTTCTTTTTGGCTGAACCCAAATTCTTTAAGTATCTCTTCAGTATGTTCCCCGACCAAAGGATCCGGTTTGGGAGATGGGATGGCTGGGGTGTCAGAGAGCACAGGTGCAGGGCGAGGACTCACATCCTGCTCTCCACCCATGAAGAAAGAGCCCCGTTCTTTGCTGTGATCATGATGGACAACCTCTTCAAGAGTCAGAACCGGAGTCACGCATGCATCTGTGCCATCAAAGATTTGACACCACTCTGCCTTTGTCTTCTTTGCAAATATATCTGCAAATTTCTTCTTCATTTCTGGCCAGTCAGTCATGCTCATCTGAGGGGGGAGTTCATCAGACTTTAGCCCAAGTCCTGGGGAGAAAATTCAATTTTTTAAATTATTATGTTTTGTGGGAAGTGATTATAATCAATTAAAATGAATTTTGAGTAATTATACTGTCCCAAATAAGATGTTCTGTAAGGTTTCTCATTCAAATGAGTCAAGAGTAGGAATTCACAACTGATATGAAGTTGATGACAAAGACTGGAGAGGACAGAGATGGGTAGCGGCACTTAAAAAAAGACTTGGTAATATGAAGATTTGTTTACATTTCATCAAAAGTAGTCTACTTTTAATGGTCTAACTTACAAAAATAGATTTCTTTCCTCTGAGTAGATTTTGACAAAGAAATGTTCTCAGCATATTATAATCTGTCATATTGAATTACACAACTCTGTATTTTCTATAATGCACCCAAACACTATAAATATCAAACCTGAGCAATTTCTTGATTTTCGAGGAAGAAGCTGAAACATAAATGATTACATTCGGGATTGCAATTTTATAAATAATATTTTATTTCTCTTTATTTTGGTAAAATAAAAGAGCTCAGGAAGAGTTTGGGGCTTGTAGGTTGCCAAAGACTCATTCCTCTAGCAAACCTGACACAGGTGTCAGCTAGCCTGTCAACTGGGGCAGGCAGACATTTCTCTCAGGCATGTGAAGAGCTAGAATGGTTCGCCAAGGAGATGAGAGCACCCACCTGGGGACTCAACAAGAAGATTGGCTCCTTTAGAGCCCATGACTCGATCTGTGCTTCTTCTATTATCCACCTGAGCCTACCCCCGCAGACACTCCTGAACACCAGTGCTGATTAAATTATACCCCAAAGGCCACTTGACTGGGGTATGGTAAGTGCCACCTTTCTTCTTATGTAAGAGAATTTTTAAATGTGGACGATTAAGAGTAGAAAAAGAATGAAAGGCCCTTTCCTTACACCGAATATTTTGTGTGACTTTAGTCGAGTTTATCCAGTAATTCTCATTTGTCTCATTTTCCTTCCCTATGCTGTTGAAGATCAGTGGCTGCTGTGAAGATGCCAAAACTGCTACAGAAGAGGATGTGAACACTGCCACCTCTTAGGGCTTTGAGGAAATATGAAGAACTCACACAGTTCTGCACTTTTATGAATAGATACCTATGGGTTACCTGAATAATTTTTTTCTCTGTAGCCATGTGTCCCATTCAAATATCAGGACAAATAATGGACCATAGTTTCAGGTTATCACTACTATCTACAAGGAAATGTTTTTAAGGATAACTTTCACTTTGCTTTCCCTTTCCTAAGTGCTCCAAATTCTGTGATTAAAAAACCACATAAAATGAGCATTCAGGCCCAGCAAAAGTGGCAAAAGCAGTAAGGCACTGATACACCATGCCTGAGGGTGCACTGCAGGCTCAAATTTGGTTTCCAGTCAAATCTGAAAAAGCTAGGTTCAGTCCTAGCTATAGCTAGAAGGCTGGAGCAGGAGGACTACATCAAGGCAACATGATGAAACCTTGTCAAATCCCCCACTCCCAAACTGTGCTTTTGTTAAAAAAATAATAATAATAGAGCGTAGCTATTGCTAGTAATATCTTTGCTTTTGTTTTGCTTTGTTTTAATCTTGCCAGAGAGTGCATATGCTCACCAGAGAAAGAGAGAGGCGATAATTCCCAAAATAGAGAAGTGAGATTACATCAGATTAAGCTTCTGCACAACAAAAGACACAGTAATTAGTGTGAATCAACAACCATTGGAATGGGAGAATATTTTTGTAAACTATGCCTTTCTTAAGGGACTGATAACCAGACTACACAGGGAATTCAAGTGGGTTATCCCCCCAAAAACATGATCAACCCAATTAAAAGATGGGAGAATGAGCTGAACAAACAACTCTCTAAGAAGATATACAAACAGCTAAAAAAGCATATGAAAAAATGTTCAACATCCCTCATCATAAGGGATATGCAGATTAAAACCACAATGAGATACCACCTAACCCCTGTCAGAACGGTGAAGATTAAAAAAGAAAAAAAGAAACAAAAGCTAGGGAATGCAATGTCTAAAAATGGCTCTGACAAGCTCTAACATATTCCTGGGAATTTAGAAGGCCATACATGTGCACATGTACAGGACTGCATTCATGTCTAACATAGATCTTCGAAGGTTCTAATTTTCCATCTCTGCACTGCACAAACAAGAAGCATTTCTTGCTCCATTTCTTCCTTTTCTTCCTTTTGGAATTTTGGGCACCCACACACACATATGCCTAGCATGTTTTTCAAGCTGCTGGGTTCAGGACTTGAACTGCACAGTTAGCTATGCAGAATTCAGCCATATTAACCACCAAACCACAGGCTGGCTTACTGGTAGCATCTTTATATGCTGTTTTAACAGAATATGATTAGAATCACACACATTTTAGTACAGGCAGGCCAACCAGTATGATATGGTTAATATATAAAAAGGGTCATAGATCTTTCATATTGACATGAAAGAACATCTTTACTATATTGTTGAATAAAAAGAGGTAGTTATAATTACATTATGAATTTCAAAAGACCCAGACTATAGGCTAAAGAACATCTACAACCAAAGGGGAAGGGAAGAGGCTTGTGAAGGTCACTCACCTTTGATCATCAGCTCATAGAACTGGGGCTCTATAGCTCCGACAGCCATGAACTGTCCATCCGCTGTTCTGTAAGTTGTATAGTAAGGTGCTCCACCGTCTAATATGTTCTGTCCTCGAGGCTGTTCCCACAGCCCTGTTTTTTGCGTTTTCCACAGAAAAGAACTTAGATAGGCTGCTCCTTCCACCTTTGAAGAAGCGGAATACAAATCCACATGATTCAAACAAACAAAACATTAACTTCTGTTTATTTTTTGTAATGTGCATTATAGGGCTTATCTCAGAGTATATGAAGAGTATAGCTAATTGTACAACTTCTTTGGTATTTCTAGAAAGTGAATTTGATGAGATATATGGTAGTATAACAACTGGCTACATTCATCAGCTCGGAAAATACTGAAAAATTTAGAAAGAACTACTTTTTCTTTTTTTCAAATAAAGACTAGCAAAGTGTTTGTGCTTTTTCTCAGGTTTTAAAAATAACCTTGATTTAAAAAAAATAATGTATGCATTATAGGAACCTGAAAAACACTGGAGCAAAAATCAAAGTCATCTATGATCACAAGAAATTTACAGGGTTTTGTTTGTTTTAGAGAGATTTTTGCTATAGGGCACATACACTCATGGAAGAGACAGAGAGATAGAAAGTGAGAAATCACTCCCCGGGGGGGATGGCACACCGCAATCCCTTCTCTTCCATTTTCCTCTTGGGATCTTGGGCACGTATGCATATGTGTCTAGCATGAGTTTTAAATCACCGAGTCCAGGACTTGAACTACAGTCAACTACAGAGCAGTCAAGCAACATAACCATTATGCCATCTGCTGGTCCCACAATTTACAATTTGCAGTATCCTTCCAGGTCCTCCCAGGTTGTGATTGAGATCATATAACAGAATATGTACCATGCTTTTTTTACACATCAAGAATATTTATGAATTCAAAGTCTGAAAGCTTTGACTATTGTGATAACCAAGAATATCCTATGCCAAAGTGAGTTTAAGCCACTGGGTCTGGGACTAGAACTGTGGTCGACTAAGTGGGAGTCCAGTGATGTAACCATTACACTATCTGCTGGTCCCAATGCTGATCATTTTTGGAGCTAAGTGAGGATACAAGGAGTCCATTATACTATTTTCTCTACTTTTAATGATATACCTCAAATATACCTTAAATCTAAACCCACCCACCATTAGCTGCTTTAGCACAAAGGGGCTTCAAAAGTTCATGAAAAATACATATTATGGGGGAACAAAAAACTATATGGATTTCAATTTTCCTGTACTGAAATAAACATAGGCTTTAGTTCTGTTTCTCCATAAACTTCCTGAAATCCCCATGTACATTTCCTATCTCTCAACAATAACGCAGCAACTGGCCTCTGCCCCTAGTCTTCTCTCCCTCACATCCATTCTCCATCGTATCTTCAGTGTCTGTGAAAATGCAACTGTGCAGTGGCTCTGGACTTCGCTCTTCCCAATAAGCTGTGGGACCTTGGGCAAATGTCTATGCTTCGTTTTCTTCTTTTTAAATTTTTTTTTTAATTTCTTGCCTTAGGGTACATACATGCACTTGCCAGGGAGAGAGAGACAGTGAGAGGAAAAGTGAAAAATCATCTCCCAGGGGGATGGCCACACTGCCCTTCTCCTCCATTCTCCCGGGATCTTGGGCATGCACACACATGCACCTGGTATGATTTTCAAGTCACCGGGTATGAGACTTGAACCATGGTCACTTTGAGGATTAAATAAAATTACACAGGGAAAGTGTCTGGCAGAGCATTAGGCCTGTGCTCAATTTACAACAGTAAATAAACAGAAGCCTTGTGACATTGAAGCATGCCTTGCAAAATGCAGCAGGAAGGTCTATCCAGGAATCTTCTTCACCTTCTGTGGGAGTCATCTTGAACTCAGTTCTGAATGATGGTTTTTTGAAACCTCCATTATAAGCACAAAAGATAACTTGGGAGAAATTGTTGCAATTCAGATGTGTCATGAAAACTTAGTGAGTAGACTCCACAAACAGTTCATCAGAACATGGCACTCTGGGTCCAGGTGGTGGTGCAACAGTAACAACTGGACTCCTGGAAAGGTCCCAGGTTCAGGTTCTAGGACCTTCCTGAGTACCCCAGGTATTCACCCATGATCTGGATTGGCTGAGGCTAGAGGTAGAGGGTGGCACGGAGACCCTATTGGTAGTACACTCCTCTCTCTCTCTGTCTCAGTCTCATGGAAGAAATAAACATGCCTAAATATATATATGACATCTTGACATGTATAAAGGATATCAGGTTATTTTAAAGAAAAAAAATAGCCTCAGTAACAAATGGCGATCTTCAAATTTCATTTCTCTCTTATTTTGCTCAAGAAAGGATTTGAGGCAGTCACTATTGTATTTATGAACAAGAGGAAGGCTTATAATTTTCCCCAATTAACACTTACCATGTTTGCATCAATGACCTGACCTTTGCCAGAGTGTGTGCGTTCAAAAAGAGCCATCACGATGCCCAGTGCGCACATGAGGCCTCCACCACCAAAGTCTCCCAGGAGATTCAGCGGGGCATATGGATTCTCACCACTTCTGCCAATTTTTGATAGGACACCTGCATCATTAAAAACAAATTTAATGTCTTTTTAAAATGTAACATCTCACTTTTTTCCTTTGTAAAGCATGTTTTTGTTTTAAAGTGGGACCTTCTCCACCTATCACTGAGCACCTGTTTTCCCTAGAGTGAGGGTGGTGTACTTGTGGGCCCTGTTGACTGTCTGTCACATACCAGTCCCCTCTAGCCTATGGACATCCTGCTCATCTCTTGTCATTTGTGTGCTCTGCCTTGTGAGTACCCTGGGGTGGGCTTGGGTGACAGCCGGGCCATCCCAGGTTCCATTTCCAGTGCACACTCCCAGCACTTGTCACGCAGAGCTCCAACATGGTGGAAACGCACGGCCCTCTCTGTCCACGGGCATTGTCCATGTCCATGGCTGCTGCCACGGAGGGGCTGACCCAAGGATTTTATTTACATTTACTTGTGCAGCCACATGTCTGACACGAGTATTTTATTTACATTTACTTGTGCAGCCACATGGACTGGTGGCCACCAGGGCAGCATGACTGAGAGGCTCAATGAGGTCAGCTTTGGTCTTCAGACCAGCCTTTTAGCCTGGAACTGTTGCTGGGCCCCAGGGGCTGGAAAGGCCACCATGGTTTTTAAGGCCTGGGTAAATGTGTCTTTTAAATAAATGTACAAACATCTATCTTAAAGGAATAACCAATCTCTTTAGTTGTGAACTTGGATAAAAACAAGTACCGTATACAATGCTTTTCCAAATCTGAACCTGTTTAGCCTAAACAGGCTCTCCCTCAAAACAGGTTTCCTGTTATGTTGGTTTGCTCTTCCCTAAAACTCAGTTCTAACAGATATTTTCCATTTTTTATTGCTAAGTTTTTTCTCACTGAGTTTTTTTTGGGGGGGGGCATGATTATTATCTGTTCTGTGGCTTTAAAACAGTACAACACACTTTTATTTTTATTAGAGATGGAAGAAAAATTAAATTGTACACAAGAAAAAGAAAAGGGATTAAATTATAAAGCAGATGTAAAAAGTCAACTCTGCACTCACCTTTTCCCTCAGTGTTTAAATTGTGCACCCATAGAAAATCTAAGACATCCTTCAGTTAACAAGATAAAGTGCTTAACAGTCTAGAATCAGAGTCTACTAACATGCTCTCTCATGGGCAAAGATTCTAATAAAGGATTCTAATAAATTCTAATAAACCATGGCTTTTCCTAGTGGTTGATCACGGTGACTCGGGCAGTGTTTTTCAATGAAGGGTGTCAGAATCAAACTACGTGAACCTCTTCAAACTGTACAGCAACTACGTCTACTCCCAAGCCTTAGTAGGGGCTTGCTTGAGAACTCATTCCACAAATATAGGAAACAAATGTTACTGATGAGAAGACATTATCCCTCTACTGTGTTAAAATAGGGCCAAGTGTTTGAGAATTGCTATTCCAAGAATCCATATCAGCTCATTTTAGACAACTGTGCTCTCCTTACTGATTCTGCTGAGTATTTAAATCTTCACCTTTAAAAATTCTTGTTCGGGGACCAGCAGTTAGCATAATGGCTATGTCGCTGGACTCCCCCATGTAGTCGACCGCGGTTCGAGTCCCGGACCTGGTGGCTTAAACTCATGCCGCGCACATGTGCGTGCCCAAGACCCCGAGAGGAGAATGGAGGAGAAGGGATTGCGGCGTGGCCGTCCCCCCTGGGGGGTGATTTCTCACTTTCTCTCTGTCTCTCTCTCTCTGTCTTTCTGGCGAGTGCACGCACTCTATAGCAAAAACCTCTCAAAAAAAATTTTTTTGTTCATCATAAAACTGTAGTTCTTCAATGAGAACAAAGTGTAGAGAATTGTTTTCCAACATACCTGACAAAGCCAAAAAGTTGATGTCATGGCCAGCTACTCTGGAGAATTTTCCTGATTGGCCAAACCCACTCAACCTGGCATAAATAAGCTTCGGATTCTCCTGCTGTAGAATCTCTGGGCCGAGCTGGAGTTTCTCCATGACACCTTAAGAGACAAGTACATGCTTTAAGTGAGCATGAATTGAGGATGGGGATAATCCTTTCTCTGCAGCAATCATGAAACAGCACTCTTACAGGTAATACTAATACTATTTGTGGCAGGCATATAGCATGTTTCCAGTGGTTAAGGACCCCAAAAGTGAGTCACCATTCCTTTTTATTTAAGTATATTTATCTCTTCCTCTGAAAGAAAGACAGCACACCCAATGGGGGTCTCAACACCACAACGCACCCCTTAGCCAACCCCCGATCATGGGCACACAGACACGCCCAGCATTTCAGGGAGGTCTCTGCATGCTAATCTTAAACCCTCCCATGTGAGTCAGCCCCACGGAGCACCAGGTCCGGTACAGCACTGCACCACCACTCGGTCCCTGGGGCCACCATTCTTGAAATGTGTGTTATTTCTTCTAGCACTTTTCTATTTCTCCTAAGCATATTCAAACCTATTCAGTCCCTGGGCAGGCATCTCCCTTTAGTTAATCTCTTTCTGTTTCTATTTCCACATCAGTGTCCACCATAGCCCACCTCATGTTGTACTTGTGTGCACACATACCCTATCAGCTGAAGAGCTCCTGGTGGGATTCTCACCTGATCTGTTTCCAAAGCCCCCTAAAAAGCCTACATTCACACACACACACACACACACACACACACACACACACACACACACACACACACACACACACACACACACACACACACACACACACACACACACACACACACACACACACACACACGCACACACACACACAAACTTTAGTTAACATCCATGGAAAGAAAACTTAGTTGCAATTGCACCTGAGAACTCTTAAGCTCTTATTACCAAATATGGAGTTTATTGCACAAAACCCAGGTAACTGGTGACTGAAGCCTCCTAGTATTAAAAAGAACCATCAAGGGTAAGGAATAAACTCAGTCTTTATCTTCCTAAAGTACTGTATTGTATAATAAATCACAAAAGAACTTCAGTTTATCACCTAAAAGCCAGCCACAACTTCTCATCTGGAGGCCATGTCCTTATGTGTAGCACTATTTACCTAATCACAAGGCCTTCTGCAAATTATTTAACTATGCTAAGGCTACTCATCTTTAGGGAGGGGATTTATTAATTATTATTATTACAATCCTTAAATATGGCTGTGAGGGTTAAATGAGTTAACTTATTTAAATAAGCCTGGTGTCCCTTTGACATTCAACTCATTCAGAGTATTTACTAACTCCCTGCCATATGCCAGGCAACGCTTTGAATTTTACTCTACATTGTTCTGGCAGCTGAGCATGGACCCAAACACCAGTTTTTAAAAGGCTGTTGGGACCAGCAGTTAGCGTAATGGCTATGTCGCTGGACTCCTAAGTAGTCGACCGCAGTTCTAGTCCCAGACCCGGTGGCTTAAACTCCGGCGCGTGTGAGTGCGTGTGTTCGTGCCCAAGATCCCGAGAGGAGAATGGAGGAGAAGGGATTGCGGCGTGGCCATTCGTTTTCTGTCTCTGTCTGTCTTTGTCTTTCTGGCAAGCCTACAAGCCCTACAGCAAAAACCTCTCCAAAAAAAGAAAACAAAACAAACAAAAAAAAGGCTGTGATCCCAGCATCAAAGCAGTTGTAGCAGGTTTGGAAGTGGTTAAGGAAGAAGGGCTGATCAGTGATCATTAAAATCAGGTAGGGTGGGGGCCAGCAGTTGGCGTAATGGCTATGTTGCTGGACTCCCATGTAGTCGACCAGTTTGAGTCCTGGACCCAAGGACTTAAACTCACACTGGGTACGTGTGAGTGCGTCCCAAGAGAATGAAGGGATTGTGGTGAGGCCATCCCCCCTGGGGGGTGATTTTTCGCTTTCTGTCTCTGTGTCTTTCTGGTGAGAACAAATGCCCTATAGCAAAAACCTCTCAAAAAACAAACAAACAGGTAGGGGTGAAAGGAAGACGAGACACACACAGGGACGGGTGAGAACTGGTTTCTGATTCAGGCAACTGGATGAACTGATTTATCACTGAGATAAATAATACAAAAAGAGGAAATGCCATTTTAGAAGGAAAATGGGAAGGCTCAGTTTGAGTCTTAGAGTTATCGTGTTGGAAGACAGGACCTGTGTCTGCCAGTAGTGTGTGGCTCTTGAAGTTGGGTACAATTACAGACTTACGCATTATCGTCTAAAAAAAATGAAGACAAGAGCCACGGATAAGGCGGCCCCACAACTGGGGGATTAGCCCTGAGCTCCGGAGAATTAGCCTATGTCCCTGGACTGCTTCACAGGGTACATTACTCGCCAAATCGCAGCTAAGTCTCTATGTGCCTACATTCAGTTTTCCAGGAACAGAATCTAGGGTTTTCAATGGATTCCCATAGGGCTTAACACCCCCAAATAATCAGGAAAGGCAAATGTAATTTAGAAGGATGATTAGAAAAACAAAGAGGCACTTGGGAAGTAGAGAGAAGCAAACGGAGAACCAGAGTAATAACAAGACGTCTAGCAGCAGCACGTCGGAATCCCAGTGCTGGAACACTATGAAGAGGCGAATGATCAACAGCATGAACTACGGCAGAAAGGCCCCAAAAGGCTGGGACGGCCGAGGGTGCATGTGCCAATGTGCCAACAAGGCAAAGGAGGGGCGGGAGCACTTTCAAAGGGCAGTGCCCTCCTTCTGCGGGACCCTGCTGCATCCAGCCTGCGGAGCGCCGGGGCTCACCGTGGCGGAAGGGCTCCAGCAGCACATCCGCCCGCTCGCACAGGCGCCGCAGCACGCTGGCTCCTTCCGGCCGCTTCAGGTCCAGCGCCAGCGAGCGCTTGCCTCGGGACAAGCGGCTCACATCGCCGCTGGAGCCGGGCCGGTCCACGCGTAGCACCTGCGCGCCGAAGTCCGCTAGGATCATACCGCAGAACGGGCCCGGGGCCAGGCCGGCTAGCTCCACGACACACACGCCCCGCAGCGCCATCGTGAAGCCCAGCGAATCCGCTGGCAGAGAAGACTGAGCAGCCGGGAAGCTCGCCCTCGGAGATAGTCCCAGCCGGCGCCCCGACGCCCCGCCCACAGTGCGCGCTCGCGCCTCCTGCGCCTGCGCGCGGCCGAGGCGTCTGGGTCCTGGCACCTCCCCGCGCTGCAGGCGCAAAGTCCACTCGAGTCCTAAATTGCAGAAGTTGACCTTGGTAACAACGGCCTGTCACTGTCCTCTCAACACGCTTTTATTCTCACCGGGGCGATCCCCAGCCATTGTGCTATTTAAGCCCCTACTTCTGTCTGACACTAGGGAAATATTAAAAGTACCTAAATACCTAACAACAAATGCCAAGGTAGTTCCTTCCACCGGCAGTGTCTTCTGCAATGCCGTTATGTCTTTGCTAGCTACCCTATGATCTCGTCCCAGAAATAACGAGATCCCTCCTAGATGCGCTGGAGAAAGAATTTTAATAGCAGAACTTCAGAGGGAGTAGATGTCCATGGAAGCCAAATGAGAGTGCTTTTAAACTAATTTTATCACTTGCTATTTCTACGGATAATTATGGTTTCTAGTTTTCAATAAGGTAATCACAAATAGTCCTACTACGTTTACAAATTGTTTCCTTTCTTCTATGTATAGCTTGTGTGTAGGTGGCCTAACATAATTTTTGACAGCTCTAGGAACTTGCACACTGTAGTCCTCCCTTACCCATGTTTTGATTTTCGGGAGTGTTAAAAGAAAAATTTCAACAATTTAATTTAGCGGAGTTTAACTGATCAAAAACAATTTGAATGAGCCAGCCCCCAGAAGGGCTTCTAAAGGACTCCAGATAGCCACATGATAAGGTGACATTTATGCACAAGAAAGGGAAAGTGAGGTACAAAAACACAAAAAAAGTGAGGGAACGAGGTAGAGAAATAATTGGACTGGTTATATCTTGATGTTTTGCCTGTGGAAGCACAGCATACAGGGTGGGCTTTCTGTGACTGAAGTGTGGCTGCTGTAATTGTAACTTAGCAACTGACTAAGGAAGCAGACATCCAAGTGTTTGCTTATGGAATCCAAGCAGGAGTATGCAGGCCTTTTCAAACCAATAAAGTTTAGCAAGAGTTTCAGTTGTCCATGGGACTACCAAGGTTTGCAAATAGGTGGGTACAATACAATAAGATTTACCACATTTACATAACGTTCATTGCAATATATTGTTCTCATTGTACTATTTGTTATTAATTTATAATTCTATTTATGGTTCATTTCTTACTGTGCCTAGTTTATGATTATACTTTATCATAGGTAAGTATGTATTGAGGAAAATGTAGAACGTAAAGGATTCTGTACTATCCATAATTTCTGGCATCCACTGAGGGCCTTGGAGAGTATCTGTTATGGGTAAGCAATGACTAGTCTATTGCCAGAAGTGGGTGCTAGAACAATCTCTGCACTAATCCTTTGTAAGTGTTGGTTTGTGTATTTTTGGAGGCAGGTGATAAAATCGAAGGCAAAACTTGGCCCATTTGTCATCAAGATCTTTTAGGTAAACTCGAGGTAATCTTGATGAATTCTCAAATCATTTCTGGGCTCTGTGACTTTCCACCTGAGGGAAAGACTGCCTCCCACTGGAAGGGATCTTCTCTGTGCCTTGTCAAATGAGAAAGGACAACTGCAAAGAACGCATTCATTGGTTTTACAAAGCTAGCTCACAATAAGGGCCAGACTATGGGCCAGGTAGCCAGCCCTCACTAGCAGACAGGCCCACCAGTACCAAGGAAGCAAGCCTCTTTTATTTTATTTTATTTTTTTAAGAGAGATTTCTGCTATAGAGCACGTGCACTAGCCAGAAAGACAGAGAGACAGAAAGCAAGAAATCACCCCCCCCCCCCAGGAGAGACGGCCAAGGAGAGATGGCCACACTGCAACCCCTTCTTCTCCATTCTCGTCTCAGGATTTTGGAGATGCACACATACATGCCCAGTGTGAGTTTTAAGCCGTCAGGTCTGGGACTCAAACCGTGGTTGACTACATGGGAGTCCAGAGACATAACCATTGCACCATCTGCTGGTTACAGGAAGCCTCTTTTAAACTTAAAAAGAGGTGTACTTTAAGAGTTCACATTAGTCGGGACCAGCAGGTGGCATGGTGGTTAAGGCGCTGGACACTCCCACATGGCCGACCAGGGTTCGAGTCCTGAATCTGGTGGCTTGCTTTCTCACTTCCTTTCTCTCTCATTCTCACCCTCTGTCTCTCTCTGGTCAAATTAAGAAATAAATGAATGAATACATAAATAAATAAAATAAATTTTTTAAAAAAGAGTTCACATTAGTCAAAGATATTAGAGCACAGTTTAAGGGTGATGGAAAAAGGGATAGGATTGGAGGGGTTAGGATTGGGTGAAAGTCCATGAGCATAAGTTATCTGAACAGTTTAGTGATCGTGGAACAATGGGGCCTTCTTTGTGACTTAAAGCTGTGTGGCCCCCACTAAAGGGGTCTCCTGCATGTTTTTATCATGAGAAAGGGTAATTTATGAAAGTTAATAGGTAGAAATCAAATAGCAGATGGCCAGCAGCCCTGTTTCCTTTCTGTAATCTCTTTGATCTTAATTTGACAAAGCGATTTCTTTTCTGGATAAGTTTTATTTTCATATTGGATTAGAGCAAGCTTACCTAAAAGATCTTGATGACAAGTGGGCCAAGTTTTGCCTTCGATTTTATCACCTGCCTCCATATTTAAATGTCCTCGCCTGTCTCTATCCCATGTTCCTACCTTTGCTTAAGAATAAAAGTTCCTTATCTCCTCTTTTTTTTCTTATTTTGAGAAACTTAGAAAGAGAAAGCTACGAAGAATATCATAGTGGACATTTGGACTGACAAATATTTCATCACGTTTGCTTCTCGTATCTTTTTCTAAAAATAAATAAATAAATAAATAATAAACAGTATAGGGTGCACTAATACCCAGGGTCAGATTCACATGAATCACAAATTTACCCAGCATCAAACTTTATTAATAATTTCAAAGATTCAGGTTATCAAAAGGGAAGTTCAGACAAAGCAGAGAGGGCTCTGGGAAATCACACGTGACTCTTCAGGTTCTTTCTGCATCAGATACGTATCTTGTCTTACAGAGTAAATTGTGTCCCTTCAAAATTCATATGTTGATGTCCTATCCCCAGAGATAGGGCCTTTGAAGAGGTAAGGTGAAATGATATCATAAGATGGGCATTAATCCAAGATAACTGGTGTCCTCATGAAAAGAGGAAATTAGGACACAGAAAACAAACCTAGGAGAGGCCATGTGAAGACCCAGCATGACTAAGTGAGGACATTTGCCATCTGCAAACCACAGAGGAGGACTTCAGAAGAAAAAAAAAAAAGTCAGTAATTTGATCTTTTGATCTTGGATTAGTCTCCAAAATTGTGAGAAAATAAATTCCTGTTGTTTTAGCCACTCACTCTGGTATTTTGTTATGGCAGCCTTAGCAACCTAATACATGCATCCTTTAACTCACATTTTGTTTGGTTTAGGTTTTTGCCATAGGATATGTGCACTCTTTTAGGCACACGTTTACTTGCCCAGCATGATTTTTAAGCCACCAGTTCTGGGACTCAAACCGCAGTCAGCATATGGGATCTAGTACCTTCACCACCACACCACAAGCTGGCCCCAAATTTTAAATAGTCTCTAATGAGGGTCTCAGGTCACCTAATAGACTTCATTTTATATCCCAGAGCGTTGTTTAGCTATGAAAGTATGCTTCCTAGATTCTAGGTTTCTTTGCCATACGTAGTCTTTTTTTTTTAAGTTGACTTATTTCTTCCATAAGCGAGAGACCCAGACAAAGAGACAGAAAGAAATAGTTTCCCCAAGGTTTTGATGTTGAGATCTACCCCCAGGCTCATCCAGTCCCAGATTATGGGTGTGTGTGTGCTTGGCAGACTTAGTGAGGTCTCCAGATGTGAACTGAGAACCTTCCCATGGATAATCAGCCTCACAGAGCATCTGCTGTGCCACTCTCAGGCCGCCTGCCGTAAGTAATCACGCCCTGTGTAAGCATCTTTCTTGGAGTGTAGGTGGGTCTCATGATCGGTTTCTAACCACAAAGGTAACAGAATGTCACATCCATGATTCGATCCCAGGAGAATGTAGCCTTGTCTTGCTGGCAGCCTCTATTGCCTTTTCGGCTTGTAGGCTTTGATGAAGTAAGCCATCCTTTGGAGAAACCCACATGGCCAGGAGCTGAGGGCAGCTCCCAGACAATAGCTAGCTAGAAATTGAGGCCCTCAGTCCAACAATCTTCAAGGAACTGAATTCTGCCAGTGACATTAGGGAGCACAGGAGCAGATTCCTCCGTACTTGAGCTTTCAGATGACCCATCTTGGCCAACACCTCGACAGTGTTATAAGATACTCCACCACTACAAAAGATCTAGCTAAGCCAATATCCTGACCCACAAAAATAATTGTGAAATAATGAGTCTGTGTTATTTTAAGTTGCTAATTTGTGGTTGTTATGCATCAATACCTAATTAATATATGCAATAACTAATATATTCCTTCTTACAATCCCTGGGGTACATGCTAATAGATAATGCAATTTTACCAATAAGGAGGCTGAGACACAGACGTTAGGTGACTTGCCCAAATAACTCACTCTCGCCAGTAGGAAAAGTTCTTTTACCCTGTTGCACAATATTGCTGCAATACTAAACACACAAGATAACTGTCAGTGGGTGTGGGTGTATTTTTGCAGAGCTACTAGGGGGAAGCAGGGTAGGGAAATGCAGCGTCCATTTCCCTGGGCTCATACTTATCATCCAATCAAGAGTTGTACTTCTTTACCTTATATTGTATCTATAAATATTTGGAGAAGAAATGGGGGATGCGTAGTCAGAACCAACAAGCCTATGCTTATCTCCAGGAAAAAAGAACTGTTAACCCTCTAAATTTCAAAGATGTATTTTCTTTCTTTCTTTTTTTTCAGAGGTTTTTTGCTACAGGGCATGTGCGCTCGATGGAGAGACAGAGAGATGGGAAAATGAGAAATCACCCCCTGGGAGGTATGGCCATGCCGCAGT